CATTCAATGAGTGAGTATTTCTTTAATAAAATGTGATAAACAAGTGAGCATCTCAAATCTGATTTGCCAAATAGGTAGACTTTATACAGATCTTGGGGAGATTCAAGTGAGCTTGTGGTCTCTACTGCGCAATGACAATGGTGAAGAGAGAACCTGGAGGTCACTATTTGACTGCCACAGAAGCTGATGGCCAAGTCTGACCCATACAGTGTAGAGGGGTAGGATAACTTGCATCCTAGCACAGTCGTCTGTACAGCAAATGATATTGGAAATTAAAGGTCAGAGAATTGATAGTAAGGCTTAAGAAAACAGCAATTAGGCTGCTAGGAAGAAAAGCTAAATTACAAGTAGTAGGAATAGGGGGGATTTGGGGGGAGGAGGATTATTGATCTAAATATCAACTTGGCAGATACACAGAGTACAATCTAGAGGTTTTTTACACCTCTGGGCTTATTCAGCCCTCACAATAAAAAATGCAGGCCTATAAAGATGGAATAAGAAGCAATCAATTAGGATGGCATTTGCCTGTTTCCGCGCTGCGGCTAGGCAGGCCCATCACAATTAATGATTTATTAGGAGATTTTAATCTTTTTTTTTCCCATTTTACACAGATTGCAGCAACCAGACTGCAGTTGTTTATTAATTTCCCTGCTATTCAAGTGTCTTTGTTAAATATCATGCAGAAAAGGTAAGCAGTTGGCTCGCATGCCAGCACTTAGATAGCAGGAGTATGCCCTTAAGCATACTTGTGCCTGCTCCCAGTGTTTGCTGGTTTTCCTGGCTGCACCTCACCTCATATCCAGAACTTGCTGCATAACAGGGTAGCCTGGCCGCAGAAAGCAGTTGGAGATGGGACACCTCATGCCACTTGCTCACGAGTGCTCTCATTTCAGTTTCTTTCAACTTAGGGGACCTAGAGAGAAGATGCAGCACTTTGCAGCAGTTGTAGCTGTCAGGGTAAGGGCTCAGAGTCTAATAAGAGGACTGAGATGCCCTTATTCTTCTGCATTAATCTATATCTATAGGTCATAAAACACTATTTCTCTAGGCAATTCAGCCTCCATAAACCACTTCTGCCTGTAACAAATGTTGTATCATTAGCAAATGTTGGAGACAACACAAAAATCTTTCCTGCAGATGTTTATGTGATGAAGTCTGTGCTCTCACAGCTTTTCAGCAAAACCAGCTAGAAAATAAAGCAAGAACATTGGAAAAAAAGGAATTCCCTTTAGAAGAAAGCCTGGATAATTATCTTTGTATTCATCCATTTCCATGCCACGCCTCCCTAGGAGTGGGTGCGGTGAGCTAATTGGTTTTACTCTGCTGTGCATGGCTTCACCGCTCAGACTTCAGATTTATTGCACAAAGTCAAGCCATTGTGTCAATTCATCATTTGTCCCCTACATCAATCCCTTTCTCCTCCGGAGTGATATTTGTCTGCATGTTTATATGCTGTCAGGTACCAAGTGAGATGAAAGAAAACTCTGGGCTTAACCAATTTTAGTATAATCTGATTCAACCCGAAAGTCAGAATGAATTATTACCTTTCCAGCAAGACATGACTTCAGAAAGGCCAGCTGCAGAGGAATGAGAGAAGGACATATGCCAGCACAGGCTTTTATGGGAGGGTGTCTTGGGTTCAGCTGTAGCAGTCATTTTTATCCTCTTAGTAGCTGGTGCAGTGCTCTGGTTTCAACTTTAGTATGAGAACAACGCTGATAACACACTGATGTTTTTAGTTGTTGCAAAGTAATGCTTACTCCGATCAAGGACTTTTCAGTCTCGTGCTCTGCCAGTGAGGAGGGGCATGAAAAGCTGGGAGGGAGCAGAGACAGGACCCCTGACCCAAACTAACCAAAGGGGTATTCCATACCACAGCAGGTATAGAAACTGGGGGGGGAGGTACCCAGAAGGCCCAGATCACTGCTCAGGTCAGGCTGGGGATCAGTCAGTGGGTGGTGAGCAATTGTATTGTGCATCACTTGGTTTTATTGTTTTCTTTTCCTTTTCCCCTTTTAGTTTTATATTCTCTCTGCTTGTTATTTCCCTTATCATTATTATTATTGATGGCAGCAGCAGTGGTTTGTGTTATACCTTAGTTACTGGACTGTTTTTATCTTAACCCATGGGATTCACATTCTTTCAGTTCTCCTCCCCATCTCTCCTGGAGTGGGGGGAAAGAAAGGGGAAATGAGTGTGTGGCTGCATGGTTCTGAGTTACCAGCTGGGCTTAAACCATGACAGAGGGGAAAGAAAAAGACCCTATGGAATTTAAGGATTTAGGAACATACCAGGTTTAGAACAAATCCTTGTCTGAGAAGGGAGGTGAAGTGTGTAATGATCAGCCGTAGAAATCCCTCTGAATCGTCTTTAAAAAGGCACTCTGGAAATTAAAGTCTTCAAATGCAACAACTGAAAGTGAAGCTAAGTGAAATACAGGGGAATATGAGTAAATGCTACAGGTGTAGGTCAAGCACTGCTTTATCAATCTTATGTTTACTCCAGCAGCTCCTCCATTGCCCATTGTTTTACCTTGTTTAGATAGGTATGCTTCTCCTTATTTCAAAATCAGTTGTAATCTTATGAAAGAGAACTTACAGCACAGGGAGTGAAATAGTGAAAGATGCCATTGTTCATTATACTAAATTACTCCTGGGTAGGGAGGGAATGACATTAAAGAAGTGTGGGTAGCTTTGAGCTGCCATCCTTCCTTTAGTAGGTGTAATTTAATGTCATTAGTTAATTTTTATTAAAGGTAAAGACAATTGTGGACAACACACATTACAGCATTTACTTATAAGAATGATAGTGGGGGAATGTTAGAGGGAGAAAAGGCAGGCTCCAGTTTGGATTCCCAATAGGTGATGAAAATTGTTCTTCATGGTGTATCTCACCAAGATCTTTTTAACCTGAAGAGTTTTGGATAGCTCCTTTGATTCCAGTGAAGGTAATCTGTTCTCATCAGAAAAACATTTGTCTTTATAAGCGTAATTAATAGACAGTATCCACCCTCAGTGCTGCATAGGACTGACCATTCCCTAACTATACCTAATAGGCATCCTGGATTCCTCAGGGTATGGGAAGCACTGTGGGTTTCACACTGATAAAAAAGCTCTATATGCTGTTGGGATCTTTATCCAGGCTTTATATTGAGACGTGCTTGTGTATTATAATTTTTGATATATTTTAAAAATGTCTTGTAAACTGTCTTGGGTTGTGACCTGCTGATGGTGTTCAGCAGCCTGTAGGACTGGCTCTATTCAGTGTCTTAAATACAACTGGTAGCTTTCTCTTGATGAGTTAATTCTGTTTGGTTCTGCAAGGCATACGTTAGTAGTAATGGACAAAGAAATGTGGTCCTAGGCCAAAGGATTTGAGACAACAGCACACAGCACTTAACACCTTTGAAATTACAGTACAATAGCTTGATGTTAGTAGTGCAGCCACTTCCTAAAAGAGACAGGGGCTCATCAGCTTGTCAACCCTGGCATGCCATATGACATTAATTTAATGTAATGGCAATAACTAGTGGGGATTTAGCAGGAGACAATCCTGCTTAACTAATCTCCTTCAGTTCTTTGTAGCAGGTTTCAGACAAGATTGGTAATAGGAGTGCACATATGACATAATCTAATGGATTTTTCAAGAGGCTTTTGATGAATTTCCATATGATATTTCCCCTGCTTTAGCTGTGTGCCACAGAGATTCCAAATTGAGCAAGAAAATGGGTAAAAAATGAGTGAAATCATGGCAAATAAAGAGAGAAGAAGAGCTGTAGTGTGTACTGGAATTAGAATTATCCTGCAGCTTCCCACTGTTCTTGCCCACCACTCAGCATGGCTGGAGAAAGATGCCATCTGCATTCACTAATGAAAACTTGTTTAGGACAGGTGCATAACAGAAGAGAGGGCAAAATGCCACTCAGGATACCACTAAAGGGCAAATTTAAATTTCCATTAACATGAGGCAGATTGAATATTTTTGCTGTCGGTGGTAGAATAATATATACTAAATATAAGCACAAATAACTGAAAGACTCCAGTGGATGGGTATGTGGTACGAGTGGAAAGGGAGTCTTGTGCTAACAAAGGAATGATTTATTATCATTTACATAACCTGGCATTTGTGCACACCAAAGGCCAGGTTTCCAGTAGTGCTCTGCTCCTGCAGTTTGGGGCAAGGATTTCAGCTGCAGACTCAGAGCCAGCCGCTCCCATCATTTACCCAGTGTTTAATTTGCCATATGTCAATCAGAGTGTTCATTCACAAGTGCTGCTAATAGGCGATGCTGAGAGATGAGGACAGTTGAAAATCTGGGAATGTGTCTTACTGGCAGCCCCAAACACTGGAAGTATTCACAGGCCAGGATCCCTGATCAGCCGTATGATAAATCAAGGGCTGGAAAGCAGGAGAATGCAGCTAATGCATCAGGATACGCCTGAGTGGGACATGCTCCATGAAAATCAGTGCTAAATGAGAGAATTAAGCACCAGGAAAGGCTGTGGCAAAATCCCAAGAAACACTTCAAATAATGAGACAAAATCAAATCAAGGGCAAGAAAGAAAGAAAATTAAGTAAAATCACTGAAAAGCAACAAAATGCCATCAATGAAATCTGAGTGAGGCAAAATACCTCAGGTTAAAGGGACATAGTCATCCTTAAAAATGCACATTTTAGTCTGCCATTTTTAGATGCTGTTGACAATTAACTGTCTGATTACTGGAACTGAACAACAAAAGCATTTTTTGTTCATTTCTTTCAAGCATTTACCCAATCTTGGGCAATGGTTTGGTGATAGAGGTTTTTCCTCCCTGGGGTGGAGAGGTGAAACTAGGCTTTGAATGGTTTGGAAAAAATAGGAAAACCCGATGTGAGAAAGGGGTGTGTGGACCCCATTGGTCCTCTTCATGAGACTGATTTCCCAGTCAGCGTGCTGATGGAGAGGAGAGGTAGCTGTGAGGAAAGCTCCCATCATGACAGCTCCTGTCTTTTGTTTGCAGTATTCAGGAGAAGTTCCTGAGAACAGAGTGGAGGTGGTGGTGGCAAATCTGACAGTGATGGACCGGGACCAGCCTCACTCCCCCAACTGGAATGCCATCTACCGCATCATCAGCGGAGACCCCTCGGGCCATTTCACTATCCGGACAGACCCAGTCACCAACGAAGGCATGGTAACCGTTGTGAAGGTAAGCGGGACAACAAAGGAAATCCAGATTTGTCTGGATTTCTCTAGGCTAGCTAAGGCTACAGGAACTGCCAGAAGCCTGCAGTTATTTCATGGCTTCTCTACCCTGAAATGCAAGCACTCAAATCTGTTGTTTCCCATCTCTGCCCATGCAGGAGTCCTGAATACTTTTACTTCAACCATATGCTGCTGGTTCTGCGTTTCCCAACTCAGCCCAGCTCTCACCCTAAGCTTTCATGAAGCTGAAGGCTCTTCCCAGCCTCTGAGCCCAACCTCAGTGTCCTGCTTCTCCTTAGCTTTTTGAGCACTGCAAGGGGGAATGGCTCCTGGTCTGTGCTGCCCTGCCCTGCCTGGTGAGGTTAGGGCAGAGGCTGCACCTTCTCCTTCTTGGGCCAGAAAACTCCCCATTAGCTGTGAATCAGGGGGTAGTGTTTCACAGCAGGGAATCAGTCAAGTGATCCTCTGAGAAAGCAGGGAGTGCAGGAGAGATTTTCGGAGGAATGCATTTCCTGGCAACAGAAAGAAAGGAGAGATTTTCCTCCGAGTTGCTTGGCAGAAAAAACTTGGAGAAATTTTCCTAGTATGAAGCGATAAACACACAGTGTGGGGCATATCCTCAGCTCAGAATAGCTCCTCACAAGTGAAATACATTCCCTAGATCAGCAGAGGATCTTGTTGAAAGACTGTGAAATAAGACTGTTAAATATCCATCATCCCTTCTTTCCTCCATCTATTGCTTTCAGCATTAGGAGAGCTTGAGCCCTCAAGATACCTGCAGCAAGTATCAAATTCTGTTTCCCTCCTTGCCTCCAAAGAACATGACTTTATCCTTATCTGAGCATTCTCTTCCCTTTCAGTTACTGAGGCCAGCAACCCAGGCAGTGAATGTTTTTGCAGTCACTACACACAGCCAGAACATAACCAGAACCATTCAGAGTTCACTGAATCTCTTCCCGGATAAGATGGCTGTGGATGCTCCCTCTGACTACCAAAAAAAACAGAGGCACCACAAATAGGCTGCTGGGGTCTTTAAGAGCTCGCATGACATGCACTGTGCACTGCATCTGGAAAACATAATACACGTTGAGATGCATAAAGCCTGCATCGTGTGATAAGTCTGGCCTTCTCTAACAGAAAGTTTTAATCAACAACATAGGATGAAACACTAATGTTTAAAGAGCAATGTGATTTAAAAACAGCTCTGTGGTGCAAAAAAAAGAGCCCTGCTCCCTTGTAGCTAATAACTGGCAGTCATTCTTAATACACATAGCTTGGGTATTAGGAAAAATGACATCAGTGAAATGCCAGTGAGGTTACGCTGGTAGGAACGTGTGAGCTTGTCCTGCTCTCTGACCCCCGAGCTATGTGTGTGTGTCTGCAGATGCCACTTTGCTGAAACTTTAAGGGAAACATCATCTACCTGCTAGATGATATTTCATCAGGGTCCTTTTATTTGCCACTCTTTATTGCTTTGAAATGATAGTTGACAGCCTTACCTGGTGCAAGGTTACAAAACCTCTTCAAGCTTAGCAGTGGTCCTGGACACCCATGTGTATGGATGCATATGTGCATGTAAGTGTACACATATCCATATATATATATATATATATATATATATTGCTTAAACAGAAAACATTCAACAAAGTAAAATGCAAGAATTTAACTTCCAGAAACATCAGCAGCCAGTCTGAAATTGAAGTGCAATGTTTTCACTGGGAGCAGGGGAGGGCCCCTTAATCTAGTAGAGTGTCAGGACTGTAGTTTAAAGGCAGATCAGAATGAACAACAGGGGATTTACATGATCATCACTACTACACAAGGACTTCTGCATAATGAGCCATCCCTTATTCAGAACTTGCAAGGAAAAAGCAGGAAGGATTTGCCAAGACACCACTGATGCTGGTGTTGCCTTTCCACTGCTGTGTAACCCACCGTGATCACAATGCAGAGAACCACAGGAAAATCCACCATTGTCAAGCTGAGCTCAAAGCTTGAAATTGCATTAAATGTCTTCACTTTATATCCTCACCTGATCCTCCTGGGCACCCCGAGTTTCCTACCCTTATCAACCCAGGAGGCTTTCTAGTGTATTTTCAGCAAGGAGAATGAGTGAAATTGCTTGTGATTAAATTTTCATGGTGAAGAAGGGAAGACTCTTAGGATTCCACCTTCCTCTTTGAAATATTTTGTTCTCTGTTAATAAGTGAACATGCTTAAAGATTTGGGGAACGTATGCACATCAGAGTGGGTGGCTGATCAGAGCGTGTTCTTTGTGGTGTTGGAGCAGACTCTTGCTGGTTTGATCACTGATGTAGATTGAAAACCCAGGTAAAAAATTAAGTCAGGTAATGAACCTTTTATTTACAGACCTTACATGGGTGGTTTTTTATGTGGCTCTTTGAAGCTGCTCATTGTAACTCCCCACTCCTACAAGCAAAGGGGTTTGCATCTGAGCTATGGCAGTCACAGAAAAGTGCAGAGAAGGATGTTTTGTGAAGAATCCCACCCCTTCACCAGTAGTTTCGGGGTCAGAAATGAAGGGCCAAAAATGTTTCCAAACCAAGAAGCCTCTTGGAGTTCAGATGATGCCCTTGGCAGGCAGGGCATTTTTGTATCCACCCTTGGCAAAACCCCAGCTCCAGTCAGTCACCAAAAGTGTAGTATTTCCTTCTTCTGTTCATGCCTTTCCAAACCATTTTCATAACTGTGCAAGACCCTGATCTTCAAAGAAAGCCTCGATCAAGGGGAGAGAGAAACTTCCCACTCAGATGAGACACCGCAGAGTCTGAAGACAATCTCCCAGAGCAGCAGTGGCTGCCCTGTGGCAGCCAGCTAAGTAAAATGGTATTATAAACTCTGCATGCATCAGAGCTCTGAATTTCTAATGGAGATACTTCCAAGGCTTCAGTTATTATTTGCCTCAACAATAACATAAAAAAAAATTTGTTCACTTTAGTTAAAAATACCTTGAGAAAAGGAGGACACCTGGCTTCACTCTGCTGCAGCCAGGTCAGAGGCGCTATTGAAAGAGGAGGATGTGCAGCATCTCCAAGGGGATGTTTCAGAGCAGTTGGGCCAGATCAGATGCTGAACATCCATCAAGGGGTATCTGCAAAGGTGCTACTTTTTAATTTCATGTTATGTAGTGGCTCTATGGGGTTTTTTAGGATCCTGCTGTCATAGAATCATAGAATCATTTAGGTTAGAAGATCATCAAGTCTAACTGTTAACCCAGCACTGCTAAGTCCACCACTAAACCATGTCCCTAAAACCATGGACTGATGAATATGTAGCATTTTCAGTGAGATGCATTAAAATGTAAGGGTTAGTGGTGTGAAGAGCAGAGAGTGCTCTGTGCGCCATTAGGGAGGCAGTTTTAGGGAGCAGAAGTATGAACTGTTGTGGTAGAAATTGCTTAAAATGGTGCAAAAGAAGTTTTGCTTAGGGCTGGACTGTGTCTGGCTGCAAGGGGCTTCTGTCCCACTAGGGACAATAGCACAAACACTGCCGTGAAGGCACCAACTCTTGATTTTACCTTGTACTTTTGACAACAAAGTATGTGAAAGGGGACTCGGACATGGAAGAGGAGGCAGATGGTCTCTCTCTTGCAGACTGAAATGCTGTGGGCACCGCCACCATGTGCCAGCAAGGTTAGCAAACAGGCCAGCACAAAAAGAAATAGATAAATAAGACTAGAGAAATATAAATTACAGGGTTGTGAAAAGAAATTGAGGAAATGCATTAGTCAAGTGGTTTCAAAGCCTTGAATAAGGTTTAAATGGGATCCTTTACCATGCGTCTTGTTTGAATGCAGGACAAGTCTGTGAGTCAGTGCTGGTGGGTGTACTGGGAATCTTTATGCTTCCTTTTATTTATTAAATGTTGGCCCTGCCTGTCAGGAAACCATTTAGCAATAGGAACATTTGCACTCCAATCGAATAGAGATTCCAATGTTTTACCTTTTGCCCCTGAAATTTGTTTCTCCCATGTAGCCTCCTATGATTTGATTTCTCTCCTGACAATACTGGGGTTTAAACAGAACACAGAAGCCAGATCTTGCTGATGTAAATCAGTACAGCTCTACTGAAATCAATGTGACTGTGGTATTTTACACCAGGAAGAGTCCACTTTGCAGACTCAGCACTGGAGAAAGGATTAAGGAGAATGGTTACACTTCTACATTTATAAATCACTGCCAAGCATTTTTTAACAAGCAGAGGTGTGATCCTGCATAACTCAAGCCTCCCTGGCAGATGATTAGTGACTTCCCTCATAGTAATTAGTGGGATGGTTTAGAAATTATTATTATACTGTGGTTCAGTCAGTTGTGCCAGCAAAGGCTTTGCACTCCTTCTGGCTCCTGAGACACACCGTCTGTATGTTTCTGTTGAGAAGAGACCTGTGGCCACCCAACAGCAAATCACATCTGTAGGAGTGTGCAGGCAGCCTCAGGAGATCACAAGGTGTCTTGCAAGAGGACAAGAGGTCTCAGTGGAAGGATGGCCTGATTAAACCAGACCAGGCCTTCTTCACTGCAGCTCCACCTTTGCTTATAAACTCACTTAAGAGGAAGAATGAAGAGCACTTCAAGCTCATGAGTCCTCATAGACTAACACAGTTACTTAGTCAGCAGCTTTAAATGCTAATAGCATTGTTAAGTACCTGTCCAGTCCCTCTTAATGGGCTCCACCTGTTGCAATTAGAGCAGCACTTGGTGGATTTGTTTATTCACTGCTCAGCTAACACTGTTCTTTTTTGGAAACCACTTAGCACTGGAACAAAGCAGAGGGCAAATCCTCCCTGCTGTTTGCAATTTTTATTTTGTGGGGCTTTTTAACTATTTGACCCAAATACTAGAGGGTCAAATCCTCCACTGGATTGAAGCTGGTATGGGTTTACACCTTCAAACAAACTGAGCTCACAGGAGGGAACAAGTTGGGGCAGTGACTTTGATATCATCTGCCTTCTAAATCTTGCAGCTTTCAGCCAGAAAGTAGAATGTATTCTGTGCCTGGCTCTATGCTTGCTTGTTTGTTTTAGGCAGTCGATTACGAGATGAACAGAGCTTTCATGCTGACAGTGATGGTATCAAACCAAGCTCCCCTGGCCAGTGGCATCCAGATGTCCTTCCAGTCGACCGCAGGAGTCACCATTTCAGTCACAGATGTCAACGAAGCACCGTATTTCCCAACGAACCACAAGCTGATCAGGCTGGAGGAGGGGGTGCCTACGGGGACGGTCCTGACAACGTTTTCAGCAGTGGATCCTGATCGCTTCATGCAGCAGGCAGTAAGGTGCGAGACCGGGCAGCCAATGAGTTCATGTACAGGTGGGGGATTGCAGCTGCAGACCTTTGGAGAGCAAAGCAGCTGGAAGCTAATTCACAAACTGATGTGAGATGAGTAAAATGCTTGGCAGGGATTGGCACCCTCAGTCGAGTGCCTGCAGAGCATCCTGCAGGCTTGTGAACTCGCCATCCGCCCTGCTCCAGGTAAGCCAGGCTGGGTGCAGGAGGGCAGGCAGAGTTGGACCCCACATTACTGGCCTGCAGAGGGGCAGTTGGCAGCTTCAAGTGCAAGCAGTCAATAGCAAGGGGTCTCTGCGTGGTTACAGAGCCACAGAGGTCAGGGCTGCATTCTACTAAATGTTTTGATTCTACCTTGTCAAGAATGCTTTGACCTATGTTGTTTGTGCACTTTATAAACACAGAGGTGTAGAAAAAGACAGCTTTGTTATTTTCTTTTTACGGGGGGGCGGGGGGGGAACTGAGGCACAGAAGGGGCTGAGAGCTAGATTTCCAAAGGGAATTACTGGGATTTTTAATCATGTCTTGTGTTGCTTCCGGAGGATTTAGGTTCTGCCTGGCTTAAAAAGCATAGTACAGAGGAGCTGTCAGCCCATTCAGAGTAAGGCTGGCTCGGTTACAAATAGCTGCTGAACAGGCTTTTAAGATGTCATACAGTTAAATATTGCCTGAGCAGTCAAACACGTATTCACACACCACTGGCACTTGGTCTTTATCCGACTAATGCCAGTCCAAATAAAGCACCCCAGCAGCCCTTGCCTGCTCTGCAGTGAATGAGATTTGTTCTCACCTTCCCTTTCCCTTCAGACCAGCTGCCAAACGTATCCTCTTCAGTAGTTGCCTTCCCTATGAATGGGATGCAGCTGGAAAAATTTTAGCCTTGTAAAAGTTAGATGTTTGATGGGAGCAGTTCAAGACCAAATTTAGTCTGTGCCACAACCAGGAGGCTGTCACTCCTTGGGGTTTTTTGTCCCTCCTGGCGAACTGGAGTCTGAATCCATTGTTCAGGACCCCAGCTCATACACCTTCCCACCAGGAACTGCACTGGGTAAAAGTGTGTGTGTGAATGAGAGTCCTTGTGACACCTTTTCCAGATACTTCAGCTTCCATCTGCACAGATGGGAAACGCATTTCCTGCTCTTGGCTCCTTTTGCACGCACAGAAGTTTGTTTCTTTTTTACTCTGTCTGTAAGGACCGCAGTATGTTTGGCAGAACCCAAGTATACAACATGAGCGCATCCAAGGCCACTTAAACTTACATCAGTTGTGACATTTCGTGTCAGGAAGAGTTTGAAATATTTCACCTGGCACAGAGCTGTCTGGTCTAGAATATGATAGTTTACTCACTGCCTTCTCTTGTTGTCTTTAGACAGGTATTGTGACTTCTGAGGAGAGAGACCATCCTCACTAACAAGCCAGTTCTTCTTACATTCTTTTTGAAATACTGGCCTTTGAAGGGTCTTTATTTCCCCCATGTCTGTACCAAGGCTGGTTTTCAGAGGAGAGGACAGCTCATTTCTGACTGAATACTCCCTCTAACCCAGAGATGGATGATCTGTAATCCAAAGGAGCATCTGCCATTTCTGGGAGAAGGACCGGCTCTGCTAAACTGTTCCTGTCATCACACAGAGCAAGTGCAGGGTTCTGTAAGACTTTCTGTGAACATGAGCAGCCAATTACTTGAGTTGTTTTTCCCTAAGGTTTCCAGAACACACATTTTGTGTATCCACCAGCACTTTGTTTCCAAACCCAAGTACAATCCCTCTTACCCCCTTTTTATCAGGGACAGCCCAGTGCTGAGGCTTGGCAAAAAGCAGTGAGGCATTGTTGGGGTCCTGTCTTTGTGAGCTATGCAAAGGATATATTGTTTTTTCTTCCCAGCTGGCATTGGTGAGTTAGAGGAAAAAGATACTGAAACAGCTAAGCCTACAGATCCATGATAAGCACTTCTCAGAGCTGATCCAGCTGCTAGAGCCTTGCATACAGTTTTCAGTCTCTAAACAGTCTTTGATGAAATGGAGTTTTTAGAAACAGAAGAAAAGGAAGCAGAAGCATCTCCAGTAAGCCACAGGAGAGCTTGGCATGACCAACGTCACACCTCAAGTTATCCTCATTAGCCGCAGACACATTCACAAAGTCAGCTTTGAGGCTGGATGCCTGGTCATGTAGGAGAGAAAGGGCAGGGGACTCACAGCAGTGATATTAAAAAGAAATGAAAACATCCCAAAGAGTCTAGCTCCATGAAATGTAATTCTTTCCTTTGGCAGGGGCTCGTGCAGCTGTGTGTTGCTTTCCTGCTCCCATGGATTGATGCAGCTCAAGTTTCACTTTGAGTTTCAGCTTCAAACAGCCCATTTCTGGAAATGGGCATTCACCAGAAGCCTTCCCTCCTGCCTGTGTATCCAACTACACAAATTTATGGAAAACTATCGGCAGGTCTGAGTTACCCATGGAATAAGCTCAGTTTTGGTTTGTTTATTTCAGTAATCTGGCCATTTACTAGCTTCCGGTTTAGGTAATAAGGGTCCAGCTCCACTCAAACTGTTGTTCTAGTAAGTAAGAATAAAATAAAACCAAGAAAACAAGCAAGTGAGAAAGGTAAACAGAACATGGAAAAAGTTTGCCCAAAACAAACCCTGTTTATATCTGGCTGTGCACGACATGAACAGATTTGGTCTGTGAGTTGACTGAGTCGATGGGATATGAATCTACCCTTGGGTTCTTCCAGCCCCAGGGCATGATGGGGACTGCTGAGGGGACCCCTTTGTTGCAGCTGTCTCCAGCCCTCACACATGCATAGGATCACCTTACCTGCTATTTCAGGAACATACGAAAATGCTTCAGGAAAGCAGGCCTGGGTCCATGCCTCAATACCGCTGGGAGTTCCCATTATAGTCACCCCGAGGCAGATGCTGCTAAAGATAGGATTCTGATAGAAAAGAGTGGCCTGGAAACTGCCATTTTTCCAGTGTGGTATTTCCCAAACTGTTATTTATTAGCGAAGGGCAGGAAACAAGAATAAAAACAAAAGGCTTTAGAGAAAGAGCTATTTTAGGAAAGGCAGCATTGAGAGAACGAGAGAGCAGGAATCCATCCTCTAATTCAGGCATACAAGTGCAGTGGTCATCACAGACCCCATTTCTCCCTGGCTGCAGAGACCTCAGGCTACGTCCACTCCCAGTAGCAGGAAGCTGCCATGTAAGTGGCACTTAGTAAAAACCAAAGCCTTTAAAATGAAAGAAATAAAAAAATTGAGTAATTGTAGAGGTCAAAACCCAGATACTCAATTAGCATTTTGTTTGTCAACAAAACCAGTTATCAAAGCTCCTTTGAATCATGGGTCAGGAGTCTAGAAAAACCTTATTTCAAGCAGTATTAAGGATATGTCCGTGAAAAGACTGCCGTGTATTTATTTCCTTTCTCTGTAGATACTCTAAGCTGTCAGATCCTGCAAACTGGCTGAACATTAATGCCACAAATGGTCAGATCACTACTGCTGCTGTCCTTGATCGAGAGTCAGACTACATTAAGAATAATGTCTACGAGGCCACATTCTTGGCGGCTGACAACGGTGAGCCCAAGCTTCACATTGTTCATGCTTCAATAAGACTCTAATGTGATGCATTAAGAGAAATGATGCCCTGACAGAGTTGTCAGTATAAGTTATCTTTTTCCCAGGTTTTTATGGTCAAAAATGTGAAAGTGGGACGGGAAATTGCTGGAGTAAATTAAATGTGCACAGTATACAGAGAGTGTTATTAAGGGAAGGGGAGGACAAATGGAAAATCGATTTGGGGAGTTCAGTATAGCCTGAACTTAAAAAAATGTCAAAGGGATGCGCTCTCCAAGGGCTGCTGAACACACTGGTCCTGCTGATCATCCCAAAGGCACTGAGCAGAGCATTCCAGAAACCTTCCTTCAGGAAATCAGAAATAATTGTAGGGGATGGCAGGCGGGTATTAAAAATAAGCCGATGATCCATTGAACTGCTGTGGCTTTCATGAGAGGTGTCTGTTTGTGGGTCTGTCATCGAGGCTGATTTCTCTCTGTCCACCACCATTTGTGAAATGTCCCACCACCATCAGAGCATCTGGATGCAGGTGGACCAAAGCCACTGAGGCCAGTACAGATATTCTCATGGAGAAGTCCCACTAAGGTTTGCTCTTCACTATTCATTTAAGGTCACGCAGTGCTTTCAGTCAAATTAACACTGTGAACCTCAGCACTGGCCTCACTTAAGGGCACACAGTCCATTGCTGCTGCCCTGGATTTTTCTTCCTAATTCTGATTAGGAGGAGTTGATGATTCTTTTGCTAATGATACCAGAATGTGGCTGTGCTGGTATTTCATTCATCAGTTCCCCCACTTGGAAAAGGCTTTGTGGAGGGCCCAGTAGTTTCCCTGGGCAAGAAGAGGGTCTTCCTCCCCTTCTGCCACCCTCACCTTCCCCCTGCAAGGTGCTGAGCACTCACATCAAACCACAGCCATGCTTCAGCAGCAAAATTAAGTCTAGGCTTGGCTGTGAGCACCTAATTATATTGCTCATACTCTGTAGGTTCTTTCAGGGCAGTGTGTGTTAGCTCTTGTCATCCCTCAGGCTGAAGGGTGCCATTATGAGCAGTTACGGTGGTGCTTGCAGGGCTAATGAAAACTTGCTCCCTCTGGGGTTTCAGGCTTCACTTCAGTCGTTGCATCCAGGGTCACAGGGGCAAAGCAAACTCAGTGCTCAATAGCAGCACCAAAAAGCAAGTTTTGCACTTTCTTTGTGCCAAGAGTGGTGGGACTTAGCCCCATCCTAAGCTTCCACTTTGCAGCCAGGGCAGCAGAATTCAAAATAGTCTCAAGGGGGTACAGCAGCATTCATCTGCAAGACCACAAAACAGATCAAATAAGTTGGTCAAGGCTATTCACAAAAGCAGTGGTAGAACTTGAACCCATCAAACTAATCCTCACCATCTGACCTTGCAAATCCCAGGCACTTAGTACAATGTGATTAGGAGTTAACCCCTTTCCTTGGCTTCAGTGCTGACACTGCAATGCATCAGCACTTCCACATCCATCATTCAGCAGCTCAGAAAGTAAGGACATACATAAATCTCTGTATTTTGAAAAATTAATCCATCACTCATATATTGCAGCCATTAAAATGCACATAAAGCAATACCTTATTTAAAATTCTGTCTAGAGTGCTTAGGATAACAGCTAAAGTTTCATCGAGGCTAATAGACTCTTTCCACATTTCTCTAAAGTTCCAGGCTCTCCAGCATCATGTACTCATTAAGGAAAGGCTTTGCCTCAAGGGTTTTGGTGGAGCTTTTTGTTCCTTTCTTGAAGAAGCAGCAGCATCTTGTTTTCTAGAAGTTCTTTTTGCTGTTTTCAGTATATGATAAAGAAGAAGTTCAGCCAAGTACTTCTTGGACCTGCTTTCTTTCTCTCCCTGGGCTACAGTGCAGATACTTAAGAAAAGTCTTTTCTGCAGTGAAAAGGGAGGGAGGAAAAGGGGAGTCAGTTCGTTTCATTTCTTCTAAGACTGCCCCAGAACTGCACTCAGGAGCACAAAGAACCAAACTACCAGGACCCAGAGCCCGGTGATACCAAATAACCCTACAAAACTGCATTTCCATGTGCAGCAGTTGCAGGTTATGTCAGCCACATGCCAGTTAGCACCTCTCGGGACTGCTAGTTCCCGTTCAGTCTATCTCAGAGGTTAGAATGTGAGCCTTGCGTTCATCCCAGGAGATACTCTGGTCAATGTGAAAACAGGGGAACCACTTTCCTTGGTCCCAAAAGTCAGTTTTCACATTCAGCCCCAACATCCCGTCTGTCTCTCCAGAAACTTTCAAGGCTGATCAAAGACACTGTTTTAGAGGGAGACTTACCCCATGCTTACTAGATGAAAGGATGAGATCAATGATTGAAGAGCTTATGTCGGAACCATGAAAGAAGGATTTTCAGGGCTCCTTCAGAGTTTTCAAGGCTCCTTTGAAAAATGGAGCAGAAACGAGAAAGGAATGTAGGAGGGAAAGTCTATAGCAGCAGAAGTAACACTCGGAAGCCTAGTGGGGAAGTAGTTTGTGTAGCATTCCATCCAGCACTGGGAGGAAGAGCTAAAACTGAAAATACAAAGTCAATAAAGAGTACTTTGGCATTGCGGGGAAGGCTGCTGTCTCTAGCCAGGGCAGGTATCACTTTGTGTAAGTGGTTGTTAGTCAGACAGATGTGGCTTTTCATCAGGAAGGGACTGGAGGACTGAGGCTGCTGTGCTGCAGCATCCCTGCTGTTTGTGACAAATGTAGGGAGGATGAAGAACTGTATGTTGGGACATGCTGCTGCTGCCATGGGCTAATGATGATGGTTAGCTCATAGCTTTGAGCAGGGACCTTTCACCACTGAAGCTAGGGCTAACTGTGCGATGGGCTTTGTTTGCAGCAGTGTAATAGTCTGCGAATCTAAATACTGGCTAGCAAGTGCTACAGTAAATGCTGACCAACAGGTTACACTACTTACCTTTTTTCCCCTCCAAGCCACCTTCTTCCTCTTGTTAGCTATCTTTCTAATGGTTATTCATCTTCAAAACAGCCAGTACCAAAATTTGCACTAGCAACTTGACGTCACCTCCTTGTACTTTTGGAGTTTGACTAAGGACATTGCTGTAGGCTACAGATCTGCAGAACTCAACCTCAGTGTTCTGCAGGAGTGAAAAACAGCAACATTAGGAGGCTTGGGGAACTTTTAATAACACCTCTTAAAGCAAAGGACCATGAAAGTGCAGTATGTCCCTAATAAGGTCCAAGGAGGGAGGGTGAAAATCCTGGTTTATTGAAATTGGATGGCAGAGAGAGGGCTGTTGTCAATCCCACTGCTTCTCAAGTGATGGTCATTGGTCCATGCTTGGCTCTGCCTCTCGCGCTCAGGTATACCCCCCGCAAGCGGCACTGGCACTCTGCAGATCTACCTAATCGACATCAACGATAATGCTCCTGAGCTCCTGCCAAAAGAGGCACAGATCTGTGAAAAGCCAAACCTGAATGTCATCAACATAACAGCCGCGGATGCTGACATCGATCCAAACGTCGGGCCCTTTGTCTTCGAGCTGCCAAGTGTGCCATCTGCGGTGAGGAAGAACTGGACCATAACACGGCTGAATGGTAAATGGGGCAGGCAATCCTGAGGACATTTGGACTCTGATTCACTAATGAGGCCACATGCGGTTTCAAACTTCCAAACTTTCCCACTTTTTTATCTGATTTTTATTTTTTAAAGCACATTATGGCTGACATTATAGACAAGATAGTTAATCAGAAATGATTTGTATCAGACCTGCAGCATAACTCTAAAAGCCTTGGCACTTGGCTTTTTTTTAATGCAGTTCATAATTATGAACAGTTATCAGTAGCGAACAGAATATAAATCATCCATAATGGCCAAGGGGAAAAAAGCTATTATCAGTCTTCCTTATGTTCCTCCAGTGTAATTGTCATAAGCCACAATCAGGATCAATGTTCATTTCTCTGCCCATAATTGCATAAAGGCAGCCTTTTAATTTACTATGGAACCAGGAGGGCCAGGTAAGTGTGAAGATTACCAGCATGTGAAGGATTTTTATATTGCAGTGTGTAACCATAATTGTTCCTCTTATTGGTAGTTTCAGCAAAGGATGGAAAATATCAGGGAGCCACTGGCTGCTTTTGGCTTCAAAGCTGGTCCCTCTCACTGAGATCTTGCACCTTCTGCCAGGCTAGGGGCAATGGCTCGTTCCCTCACAGCTCGGGGCTCAGTCCCACAGCCCTTGTGTCTCCATGGGAGGGAACGCAAGAGGGATTGCTTGATTGAGTATGTCATCAGCAGGCAATGGGCTTCCCAAAAATCCTGATGAGGGATGGTGGGTGAGCAGAAACCCTCCACAGCGGCAGCCCAGACCCAGGGAGTATCATCCATGCCTTACTATTTGCATTTCATGCTGTTTTAAACACTTGCAACCAGATTTGCAAATGGCATCAAGGTAGGTTAGTGCAGCAGTGCGAACACAGTATTTTACAAGGCACAGGCTGATTGTTGACCCAATTGTTAGGGCAGAAGTCTGAAACTGTCCTGCCCAGGTGTGCTGTTGATAGCCTCTTCTTCAGGACTCAGAAGACTGCTGTAGCAGAGGAGCCCTGCATCTACAAGTGCAGATGCAAGGCTCTACCAGTGTCTGTCGTCTGTCTGTCTGTCTGTCTTGGTCTCTCTAGGCGATTATGCCCAGCTCAGTTTACGAATCACATACCTGGAAGCAGGTGTGTATGACGTGCCAATCATTGTGACGGACTCGGGAAACCCCCCCTTGTACAACACGTCCATCATCAAAGTGAAGGTGTGCCCGTGCGACGAGAACGGTGACTGCACCACCATTGGGGCAGTGGCTGCAGCAGGGCTGGGCACAGGTGCCATCATTGCCATCTTGATCTGCATCATTATTTTACTCAGTAAGTATTACAAGGCTCACGCTGCTGGGAAACGTGATGTTTCCCATCCCATTCCCTTTTGTCCCACTGCTATACATGGTGTTTTTCCAGAGCCTTGAGAGCTCCATGCAGGGGACAGTGCCTTGAGCTTTGGGCTGCAGGGATTGGTTCACACATCTGCTTTTGAAGCTCCTTCAATGCAGCATCAGTAGAATGAGCTGGTGCACTCTCTGCATACATCAGGCTTTTCTTTCTAGGACTTCCAGTAGCTTTACAAACATAGTGACACCTGACAACATCTTGTAGGTAGTGAGTGCAGGACCAGGTTGAAGGACTTGTCCAAAATCCTGGGGCAGATAGCCCCATACCTCTCAGGTTCCTGGCTGGCTGTGGATATACTGGTTCCCAGTACCTGATGCACTGGTTGTGAGAGTCTGGTTGGTCCCTAGCCAAGCCAGTGCATAGCTGTAGCTTTTTGGTTGTTCAGAGCAAAAGATCATGGTGGATGATGAGTGCTTTAAGAGGAAGGATCCCCAGTTTGTCAGGAGCATTGGAGAGCTGGCAGTGTATCATGGAGAAGGGCTGGCCATCACTTTGCTCGAGGCAAAGCCATCCCTTTAGCCCAGCAACGCTGTTAGTTCTGAGCTTCCATGAGCATTACCAATAACCATGTGTGCACACACTTAAAAATAAAAATGATATCATTATAACTTCAAGCAGGAGTTGGCACAGTAGGAATAGATAAAAATGAGCGTTGAAATGAACAATGAGGTAAATATTCATCAAGGAACACAGGATGAAACCATAGGATTCCCATTAAAGCTAATGGGAGTTATGGTGCTAAATCACATTTAATATTTACCCCCAGTGTGTTTAAACAGAGAGCAGACAGAGCGACGTATGCTACAAATGTCTTCTAATGTGGATATGATGTGGTACATTAAGAGAATGGGTCATCTTTGGGCAAACATCCACCCTCCTGGGCCAGAGATAGGAATATATTGTCGTATAATTGATTTACTGTATTGGTCTGGAGAACAAGCCAGAACACCGTGTTTGTGGCCATGCAGTCCCATTCCTCCTCCAACTCATCTGAGCCAGTGGAAGCATCCCTGTGCCTAGCCACGATGCACAATTCCTGTCCTTTGCTGAGTGAGGATTCCCAGTGCCAAAATGTTCCAGGCTGCTCCCTTCAGCAAGGGCATTTGTTGTGAACACACCACAGTTGTACACCCAGAAGAAAATGTGGTATTCCTCAGTCCCACCACGTTTAGTACTCTGGGATATGCAGGAGTGCTGTACTGGAAGCCACAAAGGTGATTTAAACACAGGGCTCTCCTTTTGGTGGTCTTGCATGAATCCGCTGCTAAAATACAATCTAAAAAGTTGAAAATCCCATGGACTGAAATTAACTTTAGCTGAAGGACATTTGATTTAAGAGATTCCTTTTTTCATTTTCAGATACATTATCCCATTTTAAATTATGGGTTTTATTACAAAAGCTTATTTTTACATTCATTGTCATTCTAATTGACTTCTTTTTATCTTCAAGAGCTGCAAAAGCACTGTATCAGTGATGAAAAATGTAATATGTGATGAACAGTTTTCCATTTACATCCTTCCGTGTTTTGCCTCCTTTCTATCTGTTTTACATCGTGACCTCTGAACAATATCCTGGAAAAAGGCAGATGCAGGGTTTTTTATGCTATTTGTCCATTTTTGAGTCAGCAGGTCAAAGTTTGATGGCTTTAAAAGAAAGAAGCAGCAAGAGAACAGATCTAAGGTTGCTCAGGTGAGGGAAGTTTCTGCCTTTACCTTTGCTCAAAGGTGTTTTTTTTTTCCCAATACCTGATGTATTAGCTGCACAAATAATACATTTAGGAAAGCAATGCAATAAAAAATTGTGAAGGGTGAAGACAATAGATTTCAAGGAAAGCTACATGCAGAGTGAAAATGGGTCTAACAGCAGTAATAGCACTTCCCATTCTGCAGAGTGAATAAAAGGAAGGAGAGTGCACTACATCCACTATTGACACTTTGAAGGTCCCTTCTTTTCCAAGGTAGCTGTAAAGGCATTAATGGCACGGAAAAAAACTACAACTGCATGAAAAAGTAGCATTAAAAAAAAAGGGGGGGGGGGGGGGGGGGAGAAGATAAACCCTAGTAACCATTATAATATTGTCTTTGTGGACTAGGCAGGTATCTTGTTGTGAGAGACTTGAAAAGGATCAAGGAGAAAAGGACTTCAATAGTCGGCTAAATAGCTGAGGTTTTATATTGCAGATAAGAGTTACATTTTCTTCCCTTTTCTTTTTTCTGCCTTGAATAGATCCAGGATAAGCATTAAAGAGATGCTGAAGTATCTGAAAACAATTCTGTTAGCTGGCAGGCCGGGATGGCAGCCAGTTGGCACACAATGGCAGTAATTAGCTGTCCAGTCCTCTTCCACTCACTTCACTGAATTCCTGTTGGGTATAAACACTTTGGTGCTGGGAGGAAGAACTCAGATCCTCCTCAACACCTCCTCACAAAGTGGGGCTGCAGGCTGAGCTGCTCGCCCATTTCCCCAGGGTCTGGTCTCTTCTCTATCCTTACCCTCCATGAAGCAACACCCGGGCTCAGCAGACAGGTAAAGGGAAAGAAAATGTGGTTGCTTGTGCAGCTAAAAAATACAAAGAACGGTTGGGATCTTACGTCCTGCCTGGATTCATTTGTGTTGGATGCATTAGTTTGGCATGGTCAAGAGCTGACCCAGATGAAACAAACCTGGGCCACGCGTTCTCACCTCCACTGTCCATCCATGTCTCCATTCTCCAGCAGATTGCCTCTGTCACAGCTTGGTGTGGCTTGCATGGAGAATGGAGGGGGAAGCAGACACTAGGAGGTGTGACTGCATCAGCTGCTCAGGCTTAATTTCTGTTCTGATGGCATTATTTGCAGCTACTGAGTATGAGAATGAAAACGAGCGTATTAACAGGTTCTTGAAGAAGACAAGGTCTGGTTTCCTTATGTTAGTGGAGGCTTAGGTTCCCAGAGCACAGGTAAATCACAAGGAGCACACAACCTCTGAGATGTGAGTGGACTTGTGAAGGATGAGGTTGTGGAGCAGGGAGTCAGCATTCCCTTTGGGTAAAGTTGCTTAAGTTGGGAAAATCTTCTCATGACTGAAGAACTGTTCCTCTCTCACTGTTAATTGTGCTGAAAGAGATTTGCCAGGTCCTGGCATGTAAATGCTGATGCCTGAGGAGGTTGGCTGTGTGCTACCAGATCTGCTCTTTCTTGTTCTGCAAAGCTAGCCCTGCTCTCTGAAAGGATTTCAAATGATCTTAGAGTTGCTTTGCAAGTCAATGGCCAAATGTGTATGCTAATGTCCTGGCTAATGTGGTCTTGGAAGTATAGAAAGCCTTCCTCCTGTAGCAAAGAAAAGTATGAAGGAGTCCAAATCCAATTACAGGACCCAGTGTTACACAGCCTCCACAAACCAGTCTTTCTTGGCCAACTGCAGACAACAAAATGACTCCTATGACCAGGGCTTGTGACCTGAATGGGCATTGCTGTATCACACTGAGGGAAGAGCTGCTTGTGCACAAGATGTGGGCCACCTGTACCTGTTTGCTTCTCAGCACCTCTGCAGCTGTCTTCCCCCACCTTTTTTTTTGTGCCCATGAATGAAATAAAGGTGGAAATCTAATCCTGAAAATTCAGGATTTAGATCAAATCTTTTCAGAAAGCTGCAGGTTTCACACTTCCTGTTTGCTTTCCGTTTGATGGTGTGGTTTACATCTGATAAAAGTCAGCCGCATCAGCACTGGAAAAGGAAAAAAACATTAAGGAAATGTTTGTGGTGGAGGCCTGTCACAGCATTCACTGAGCTCTCCCTTATGAAGCAGACTATGCAATAAGAGAAAATTCCATTCCTCTTACTAGCAGCCAGTGAGGTTCTCCATAGTGGAAGAGGGCAGGTGAGGCTCTGGGCCACGCCACCACACTCCATGCAGCCTGGGCTTGTGCCATGTGAGGCTGCAGCTCACCCAGCTTCTTCCCTATTACAGCCATGGTTCTGCTGTTCGTGGTGTGGATGAAGCGCCGGGAGAAGGAGCGCCACACCAAGCAGCTCCTGATTGACCCCGAGGACGATGTCAGGGACAATATCCTGAAGTACGATGAAGAAGGAGGTGGAGAAGAAGACCAGGTGAGAAGAGCCTGTGGGTTGTGGCCAAGGAGCAGCTGTGCAATCTGTACTCTCAAAAAGGCAGAAATTTTCACTAAATTACTTGCAAAGGGTTGTGTTCCCCTTGTTTATTCCCAGGCAGCTTTCTTGGCTTCCCTAGTGTGGCATGGACGTCAGTGAGAGCCAGTGGAGGTCCAGGGGATTCAGCATGTCACTGGGACACTGGCATTGGAGCAGGACTGTGCCAGGAGTCTGATGCCAAGTGGATTTGTCTATGCCCTAGTCAACTTCCTGGGGAGGGACAAAAAAATCAATCCACTCCACTCGTATTCAAACAGTATTTACATTATTTCAGTCATTAAATTTGTGTATTTTACCATTCCCCATTAGAGATCTTATAAAACCTAGCCAGCAGCTACCACTCTCCCCAGAACCGTGCCTGCAGGCACTTGCCTTGGCTTGCTTGAACCTAGAGCTTCTGTGGGATTTCCCTGCATTTACTTAATCGTCTCTAATGCTTCTTTAATTTCTTTTAATTTCTGAATGTAGTTTGTGAGAAGTGTCTGAATACATTTGGGGATTTTCTTTTCCACTGTGAAGCATACGGTGGCAAAGCTTTGCTTGGTGATGGAGCCCTAAGCCACAGTCTGCCTGAATGCATCAGCTTTTCTGTGGTGGCTTCTTCTTACAGACACCGATGCTGATGTTGCATGAAAACTTCCCTTGCCTGCACTCCTGGGATGTGCTTTCCCTCTGCTAGGGATGTATTTCAACTAAAATAGCAAAGTTTGGTTGCTCATGGTCAAGACACCGGGGTTTTTATTCCTGCCTAAGCAAAGAGCCTGTGACACTCTCAAATATAATGTTCACACAAATTATGTGGCTCTGAATCATGTAATGGCTGTATTCTTGCTTGCTTCAGCCCTAAGGTCATGGTTGAGGGTGGTCCCGGTGGCATCCACAGGCAAGCAGATGAGCCTGGCAAGAGCCACCTCGGGGAGCCAACACAGGGACTTTGTCCAAAACTTGAGAAGTTCCAATTGCACAGAAAAATCCTTGCAATTGGCATTTCTTTTTTCTTGTCGCTGACAAGTTATTTATAAATATTGCTCCTGGAGATTCAATCATCCCCATCTGAGCACAAGAATAGTTTCACCGGTAGAACAAAGTGCTGCTATAAGCATTCAAACCAGCTGAAGTATCTGGTTTCAGGCAACTACATTGTAGGCTTAAATATTTTAGAAAGGATTCATTAAAAATAACAGCAAAGGAAAAGCAGCAAAACACCATTACCTACATGAATACATTTTTAATGAAATATTACCTGGTTCTCCTTCCTTGGTAGAAACCTATTCTGTTGGGATTTTTCATGAGCAGAAAGAACATAATTACTTTGAAAGGCCTACATGCATAAATGCAATGTGCATTTTAATGTTTTTACCTCTGTAGAAATGTAATTGCAATAATATGTCTACCAGCAATGTCTGTACATTATATATTTCATCAAAAGCTAGATGTATCCCTGTGCACATGCAAACAAACGACAATTTTTTATCCCAAAGATTTAGACGACACGTGAAATAGTCACGAAGTTTTTAAATATTTGATTTTACTCATGTTTTAAGATACACTCTTAGGAGGTCAATTTTATGAGCTACTCAGAGGTCAAGTTCATCTGTAATTTAGATAGAGGGGCTGCATACTTGCTGATCAGATTTGCCATTGAACTTCAGCTGAAATAGGATTAGACCTCTCACATTGTTTGTACATTGGGTGAGCAGATGATCGGAACGAAAAGCTCTTCGTTTCACTCTGTGCCTTTCCATTTTTCACAGGATTATGATTTAAGCCAGCTCCAGCAGCCAGAGACCATGGATCATGTTCTGAACAAGACACCTGGAGTCAGAAGGGTGGATGAAAGACCTATTGGTGCTGAACCGCAGTATCCTATAAGACCAGTAATCCCACATCCAGGGGATATTGGTGACTTTATTAATGAGGTATGTTCTGTAGGGTGTCTTGTGTCACATATTAAAAGCTTGAGCAGCCAGCTAAGATCAGCTATGCAACATTCTCCTGGCTGGATAGACCAAGTGATGCTATTACTCACATGAGAAGTCAGGTGCAAACTAGGGGAATAAGCGGTATGAGCAAAGGACACAGGACTTGGCCTAATAAAGGCGTTGAGCCTGTAAAAAGCCAAAGCGCAAGGCAAAAAGCCAAATATTCCTCATCTGTGGATCTCACAAACGCCATGCTTTTCAGCATCCGGGCAGTAGAACCTGATCCCAGTCTCCTTTGGATTACTGGGAGTATTGCAGCTGCTGAAGTAAAAGCTTTATCTGGATGCAGACAAAGGAGTGTCATCATCATAGGGAGGTGGTGGCAAGGCAGCTGCATGGGTTCCCCGGAGACAAAGGACCCATTTGGGACTCCTGGACTTGTAATTATTTCACCAGTCTGTGCCTTCCTAGTAAGTTCTATTTGGTCTAAAGCCTCAAAGAGTTTACAGAACAGAGAGATTCATCCCAGATGAGAGAGGGTTTCTTTATTTTATGTTAGATTACTGCTCCTTTATCTGCTTGTACAAATATCTATCCGTTTAGTGTTTCTTATCTTGTTTTTAGTTTTGGGTGATTGAGTAGTTACAAACCAATCAATGCATTATTTCCTCCGAGACAAAACACACCATTCATTTCCTAAGTTAGAAAAACAAGTGTTATAGCGATTTAATTCTGTTATTATATCCACTTCCTGCTGTGCTTTTTTTCTTATTTTTATCATTAAAATTTCTTCTTCCTTTGCTCCTGCCCATCCTTCACACACATATTTACATACATCTATGTGCGTAAAGGCTGGCTCTTACACATGTTCCAGCTGCTGTTTGCTGCAGTAAAACCTGCTCCATCTCCCCATGCTGAGACTGGGGTTTTGGAAGGTATGAATGCAGAACGTTTTGCTTTATTGCAGGTCTATTCCACCAGGCTTTTCCTGATGCTGGGCTGCAGCAAAGCAATTCTTTTCCTTCATATCCCAAGGCCATTTCCATGTCCTGCCTACACTGCTGCCCACAACACACAGGACCAGCAATGCTTCCCAACCCTCTGCCCAAAATTCCATACCCCAAGTCTCTCTTAATTGCAGAGTTTTGCTAGGATTGATGTTTGGAGTTTTTTTCTAAAGGAATCCAAATCATCAAAATTAAAATAATGGTTATTGGTCGGGTGCTGGTCATTCTTTCACTGGCCAAGCTGGAAATCTTAACAGGCAACCCCAGAAACTACATGCTGTCCAGGACTGAAAGCTTTCCAGTTCCAAACTTGGATGCTTGGAAGTAACTCCCCTCCTGCTCCATCCAGGTCTTTTACAGTGGTACTGGGAGTTAGTGGGTTTCTGCTGGGGGCATCCAGGAGGGCTCAACCAGGGGGGGCACCCAAACATAGGGAACCTGCAGAACCCTCATTTTTGTACCATTGTCATTTCTCTTTTCCCCATCGTCTTTTAGCTTTGCTATAGGGATCCCAAACATCCCACCAGCCCAGATCCTTACCCAAACACCCTTCCTTAGAATCATAGAATGATTTGGGTTGGAAAGGACCTTAAGATCATCCAGTTTCAACCCCCTGCCATGGGCAGGGGCACCTCCCACTAAACCATCTCACCCAAGGCTCTGTCCAACCTGGCCTTGGACACTACCAGGGATGGAGCATTTACCACTTCTTTGGGCACTTCTTAGCACCATCACCCTAACACCTATGGTGGGTATTGACAGCCTGTGTTTGCTCCCCCAGGGTCTGCGGGCGGCTGACAATGACCCCACAGCACCTCCTTATGATTCCCTGCTGGTGTTTGACTACGAGGGCAGTGGCTCCACTGCCGGCTCCGTCAGCTCCCTGAACTCCTCTAGCTCCGGGGACCAGGACTACGACTACCTTAACGACTGGGGGCCCAGGTTCAAGAAACTGGCAGACATGTACGGGGGAGGCGAGGAAGATTAAACTGACCTCACGTTATTTAAAAACAAATATAAGAAGAAGACAGAAAAGAATATTAAGAAAAAAAAAAGAAAAAAACATAGAAAAAACAAACCCACAGACGACAACATTAACAAAAAGAGCCGATGCAGAAGCAAGAACTGTACAGATGTGGCAGCTTTTTTAATTAATATCCCCTGCTGACTGTGTTGTTATTTTTAGTGGTGACATAGGAGGTTTCTTTTCTTTTTTTCCCCTTTTTTTTTTTTCCTTTCCAATGTTATTTTTTAGAATATTGAGCTGTCTCGCATGAACACTTGTCTCTGCTGCAGGTTTTTTTTGTTCTTTTGGTTTGGTTTTTTAATGTCAGCTGGGATATTGCTCGTTTACCTGCTTTATGACTAAAGAGAGTGAAAGGCACTCTGTCTTAACTTGAATTTCTTAGAACAGAAGCACTGTTTTTAAAATATATATATATATATATATTTGAAAGTGCCTTTTGGTGCATGTATCAGATTCCCTTCAATCTCAGGAGTGATGAAAACAAACATACAACCATCCTGGGCAGCACTCCCTGTGACCTTAAGCCAGTTCTAGCTGGGAAGGATTTAACAGAAAGGAACTCTGGAGATTGGTTTTTGTTTTTGTTTTTGTTCCTTTTTTTTTCCTCTTTTTTTTCTTTTTTTGCCTCTTTTTTGGAGGGGGTGACTCGTTCTGGGTGGAAACGGATGGGGGGTTCGGGGAGGGGGAAGATGTTTTGAGTCAAAACCTGAACAGCCATCTTTAAGCCTCAGCAGGTGGTGAACTAGTCATCATGTTGTATATAATTCAGTGTTATCAGATGCAAAATACCGACTGGGGGCTCTGTCGTCACCTGGTCACACTCAATGTAGCTGCATAGAACTATAGCGTTGATAAAGCCTTTGGTTATTGCAACAGAAATTTCCGACAGCCCTTGCCTAAACCCTACAAAGTAAATCGTGACATGACCAAAGGCCCAGTTGTTTGTTTTTATGCTATCGGTGTGTGTTGGCTCCCATGACCTCTGGAGTGATGTAAATACCAGCTGGGTTAGGTGGTGGTGTCCTGCAACCCCAGGGATTCCTGCTAGCAGGAAAGCCAATGCTGTTTTCCTGGTGGAAGCAGGGGTTTGTGCAGTGGCTCTGCTCGAGGCTGAGGCAGCGCAAAGGGCAGGAGCAGTTTATCAGCACTTTTGCCATCCGTAAGTATGAAGTTAGTCTAGTATAATATTAATGCCTTGGAGCATTAGTAGCCAAAGCTCAAGAATATCGTGTAACTCAGCTAATGTGTGTCCTTTCTATTCAATGGGTAGGTGCTGCTATCTGTAGTAAATGTGTTTTTTTGGAGGAGAAGTGCAACGAGGGCCTATTAAGTACCTTGTGGTTAATATGCTCAAGCATTGCCAAGTAAGCAAGAGGTTTTGCAGCATCCAGGCATAATTCAACATCAGTATTATAAATGGTAGCATACTACCTAGTTTATATGTAGGGTCAGTTTAACCAATAACGAATAGTTATTAGCTTTTTTATTACATTTTTCCTTTACTGATTTGGACTAGTGGGTTTATGTCTAATGTTTGTAAAATGATTTAGACTGCATGGATGTGTAATATAAACCACATTTAATGGATTATGAGCCACTTAATTAATGTGCTATGAAATCTTGGATTACCTGTGTTTTATATTCTGCAGACGATTTTGCAGTGGGTTCGCTAAAACTTGTAAAAGTGCTTAGATATATTTTCATTTAAATCCAAGAATGTGCACAATATTGGAAGGTGATTATCCAGGGGATAATCATGCTTTTTTTTGATATCTCTATTAATTCTCAAGTTGAATGCTAAGAGTTTAAAGGGGGGTGGGAGGGAAGTGAGAATGAGAGGACGAGAGCTTGCGGTGATGAGTGGACGTCGTTTCAGAGGGTATACTAGGCTGCAAGATCGTCTCTATAGATTTTTGAAATGCTCCTGGTGCATTTTATATTTCATTGTATCATATTTTCTATAAAATGCAATTTCTGTAAATTAATGAGCATTTGAAATGTGTCTTGTATGAAGTGGAATGTGGTAAAAGTCTGCCCGAGGGGACTCCAACATTACCGGTATGTAAATAACTACCAAGGATGCGATCCTTCTTTTTGTCCTGGTCGGTCAGTCAATGGGACAGTTTGTCCTTTCAGAACTCTCTCATCCAAGTTCTTGAGGAAGCAGGAGGTGATGGCTTGGGCCTCAGGAGAGGGATGGCGCTGATGGCAGCAGCAAGGCAAGGATATTGTGCCACACAGCACGTGCCTCAGCCAGGATGAAGTGCAGTGCCTGGTAAACTGCCGGCACCTGATGCCTTCCCAAATTCCTGTTCCATAGTTGAGAACTCAGTTGCTTGTGTGACCATTATGAAAGTCTTAGTTTGCTTCTGCCACGTTCTGTCCACCTCCTCCTGGCCACCCTCAGCAAACTTCACAGCCCTTGTCCTCAGCCGGCTGGCGTGGGTGGGCTGCATTGCCTTGAGCCACTGCTGTCTACCTACGGGCAGGCTTGATTCTTCCCCTTTCTTTCCGAAAAGCCACAGGCTGGAGTATTTCACCATCTGGGCTTTGCACCCCCACAGAAGCTGCCCGGTCACAGCAGACGTAGTGAATAATAAAAACGCACTTAGTGTTTCTTGCTGATGACTACCCGCCAGTGTTTTGTGTCCATCACCATAACCTCATCTCCAGCTCAAGAGAAGGACCCGGATCGATGGCTGAGGTGATGCTGATGGTTCTCCATCCATTGGGTTGCTGCTGCTGCCTGCCAGCTCCACGTGGCTCCTAGGATGCTCATGTGGATCCCATGATGCCAGCTGGGTCTCTGCTGCAAGCCAAGCTGTGCTATCTACCTGATACCATTTACCCAAGAGCAGTAGCAAAGTCCCTGCTCCAGAGCATTTGGTGCCTGCTCTCTGCTGCGGCTTTGGCTGAGGTGATGGATTTCAGGTAGGGAAGGGAACGGCAGCAGTATGGGATGGCTGCTGTGGGGCTGGAGGCTGGAGGGGCCGGTCAGCATCGCCCCACTGTCACCCACGGGGATGTGCCATGCAGTGACAGGAACCACTTGGCCATGAAGGAGACATCAGACATCAGCTTGTCTAAACATTTTGGGCTTTTAAGAACATTTATACAACTTAAGTCAAACAAAATGGATTGAGTGACTAAAAATAAATCAACCTATTTCCATTTTTTTTAAATCAGCAGATATTTTTTCTGCAGCCTTTGCAATCCAGCCATTCCAACTCCACAAGCCCATAAATCAAACCAACTAGTTTATTGTCCTTTGAGCCAGTTCTGCTCAGTCTCCCTCTGCAGGACTTCCTCCTCCTCTTCCTCTCCCTTGTCCTCCTCCTCCTCCCTCCATCACTTAGCTTTACAACCCCACAAGTAAACAGCAGCATCAGACCCCTTTCTTCACAGTGGGAACAGCAGAAGGTAAGCGAGGAACACATCAAGCAATGACAATAGATCACTGCTTGCAAATATTTTTGCTTGTTAATACTAATTATTATTATTATAATCCAGCTAAGAAAATTTACATTAATCCAAAGGACCCTATTGAAAAGGTGACTGTGTCAGTGCTGTCCCCCCACTCTGATCCTCATTCGCCATTGCCATTCACCGCTGGAGGTGACAGTGGCTTACAAGGAGCCAGGCTGGGGAAACGGCAGCTCTGAAGGTACAATTCAAGCCACGGAAGTGGTTAATGCATTGAGACCAGAATGCTTGCTCTCCAACTAATCTAAACTAAAGCATTAAAAATTAAAGAAGCTGTGCCCTCACATGCAAGTCCCCACTCTGCACACCATGCAGTGGTGGGGAAGGACTTGATTTCAGGCAGGTGGAAGGGAGCCCATTCCCAAAATGCCACTGTCACCGCCATAGCCCATAGCAGTGCCAGGGGACACCACAAGAGCTCTCTATGCTAAGGGATGGGGACAGTGAACTGCCAGGGTGTTGAAGCACACTGGACACCTCCTAGGCGTGAAAACTGCACATCAGCAAGCCAAGGACCACTCGGGTCCAGTGCTGGCAGAGATTGGCCCACACCTCGGTGCAGCCTATTTGTTATGTAGCCTGTAAACAGGGAAAAGCATCAGTGATGGAAATGCTTTGCAAGGCAAAGAGGATACTCAGCAGGTAATTAATGACAGTGAATCACAGTGAAACAGGCAAATCTGTTGTAGGTGTCCTATGTGCTAGTCATAGTTTGGCTTCTGGGTTTGCATTTTTCCATATTTCATATTTATTTCCTTTCATGTTGGACCAGGCAATGCTATTGGTGGATGTAAGGTGCTGGTTGGGAGTTCACTCACCTGCAGCTGAGCCACTTTGAGCCTCTCTCATACTGGTTTTAGGGGTAGTTGTGTCCAAATACAGCCTCCAGGAATAATTGGGACTCTAGGCTGTATCATCTGCAACTGCTTTGCATAGGGTAGATGGTCAGGAATTGGAGAACAGCATTGGTCAGTGCAGGGTCTGTACAACACAATATGCCAAGATTGCAACTTCGTTTAGTCTCAGAAAAAAACAAAGGTAAAATATGGGACTTTTATTGTGATGTCTTGGAGCTTTTCATTGTAAGTGTGGAAAAAAAAGGGGGAGGGGGGGAATGCTGTATAACACGGAATGCGTATGTTTAAAACAGCAGCTAGACAACGTAGGTGTCTCCCACACAAAGTTAACTTGGTTCCATGGGGAAAATAAAAGTTCTTTCCAGTACACACCGACCCCGTGAGCAATTGCTCACACCCTGTGTACATAATGTAGTTAGTGCTTGAAGCTACAAATCAAATAGAGGCAAAAAGCAACAAGAACATATAGATGTGTAACTGGAGCACTTTCTCTTCCTTCAATTCTGATTTTGCATGTTTCCTTTTCCGATGGAGAAGCTGTGTAGCAGCCCGCATGACTGTGGTTGTTCTCAAGGAAGACTTCTGCTGTTCCGCTGTATTCACGCTGAAGCGCAAAAGCAGTCTGCATCCGTTAACCCAGTTCAAAAACCTTTTTTTGTAACCGTCAACAGCACAAATCTTTTGTATTGTCGTTTGTACCATTTTTGTACCAAAAACAAAAGAGGAAAAAAAGAAAAAAAAAAAAAGGAAGAAAGTCAATGTTTTCAGTGTGTTTTTAGTGCCACTGCAATCTTGGTTTCCAAACTGAGTGACGGGTTTGCTGATTTATTGTGTATCAAAGCTGAACTGGTGCACTGACGTCTGGCTTCAGTGTAATAAAAATAAAGTCCCCCTTTTGAATAGTCTCACTTGCTTTTTTAGTTTGTTTATTATTTTCATGTTTCTTATTTCCTTTTCCTTCCCCACATGCCCATCCCAGCTCATTCATCGCTAATGGCACACTTACATACCCTTGCAGTGACTGGTAAACGGTAGCCTGGTGGCAGGTGTGGGTCTTACATGTGCAGACACCAGTGGGAGTTTGAGAGGTCTCAGGTGCTTCTGTGTGTGTCTTTAATTCCTTACAGCAAGAAATATGTCTTGCCCCCAGCCTTTGTCGTTTCAAGCAGCAATTCCTCCCACACCCCCATGCAGACATGTCTGTGCTGCACTGAACTGCTGGTGCACATCAGTTGGGTGGCGATTTTACTCCTGCAACACAATATCTTAGTGTGTTAGCGCAATTCAGGCACATTCTAGGGTCTTTACTAGCACATTGGTAGTCCTCGTGGCTGCTGCACCAGGACATTCAGCCCCTTCCCCTGCCCGCTGCCCTGCAGCTCTGCATGTGAGCTGCAGCACTCCCAAGAGCAGCCAGCCCTTTTACTGCCAGGAATGGTTCAAAAACATTTAGGGAATGACCCAGCACTCTGGGCCAGCTGATGCCCAGAGGAGGAGGCCCGAGCTGGCTGCTCCCAGTTGTATTTGTCCATCTTCTCTGCACATGCAGGAGCAAAGCCATGCAATTAGCACTGGCAGCAGCACTCACATCCTCCTGCATGGCCTGAGCGGCTGGTTGGGTTCCCATCACCCTCACCCCAACAGCAACCCACATGAGTAGTGAGAGATTTCAGCAGGTCCTGGAGCTGAGCAGGGGCCAGGGAGGACACACAGTTCCAGCAGGGCATGGAGCTATTCCAGCCGAGCGCGAGGAAAAGCAATGCTGTCTCATTTTTAATAAACATTAAGATGAATGCAAATCCTGTACACGGCAATTTCCTTCCCCCCGGAGTCAGCTAAGAATATTTTATTGCTAGTTTTGCTAATTCTCAAGCTGTTCTTTTTCTTAGAATCATCTTTAACTACTGAATAATGCAAGACTCTTGCATCACAAATATTAGTTTCTGCTATCTACCTGTGGAAGTCTGGGCCCTCATCATCACATTATTAGGCTCTTACCTGCCTGTAGAAATTCTTGTTCCTCAAATGATTTAGCTGCATGCTTAACTTTGACTGTTGTGGATACTTTTACTAAGCTGATGGAAACAGCCACCCTCCCCTAAATCCATGGACTTCTGTACCAAAATTAAAAATAATAACAATTACTATCACAGTTATTATAGCTGCTTGGGTTGGCTAGGTTTTCTTCTCTCAAGTCAAAGGCAGATGCCATAATTTGCAGTAGAATTTGGCTCAGATCAAACCAATGCACACGGGGATTACGTTTTTTTCCTTCATTAACTAAATAACTGAACTTTACTTTGTTGTCCAGACTAAAGCCTTTGCATTACCGACACCATTTCCCACACATATATACATCTTTTTAAAGACAGCAGGGGTTTTTTTTACAAAACCAGAGTTAAGCAGTTTTAGGTAACACAAAAAAGACCAAGCAAAACTTTCTACGCAATGCTATACTATTGTCAAAACAGAGGAAGCATTGGGTTTTTATTAACCCCTGATGAAGCTGTCTCGTGTGCAAATTTCATTCCATCTATAAAAAACAATTTGCACAGCTGTAACTACTGGTGCCCAGAGGTCCTGTGTGTGAGCAGGAGAGTGCTCCAGCTGAGAACATGCCCAGCTTCCTTTCTGCCCAGTGCTGGTGTGTACTGGTGCTAACAGGAGCCTTGAGACTGAGCTGTGGCTTCTTTTGTTGTTGTTGTAATAGTAATAGCATTAATGGTATTAATAGTACTATTAGTAATAGTAAAAATATTAATTGTGAAGAAGACCTCATGGACGGCTGTACTGTGCAGCAATCACTCTCCCTCTTCCAAGCAGGGTCAAAAGTGCTTCAAAGGACCAAGATGTGTGTGGGACAGACAGGGGACACTGGAACACATAGACAACTGTGGGAACTGCGTGTCCAGCTGAGTTCTTTGACCAGTTACCTTGAAAATACTCCCAGCACTTCTCCTTCCAGCCACAGCAGCACCATGCCATAAACACTCATGAGCCAGAGCAGCAGCATCCCTCATAATCCCAGTGTAAACGGAAAGGCACCTAGGACAAGGGTACCCAAAGACGCCCAAAGGGACCAGCACTCACATGGGTGCTGCACTCTGTTCAGATGAAAGCAGAGATGTTTGAGGTGTTATTTAAGATATTCTCCTTTCCCACCTGGGCAGATCCTGGGCACGGGGGGACAGAATTAATGAGACATTAAAGATGTGCAGGTCACTGCAGAGCAGGGATGGCACTGCATGTCAAGGGGAGGGTGGTCATATGTTCCCATCCTGAACAATGGAGCCTGAGAGCTGGGATCAGACCAGTTCCTGAGCAGGGACTGAGCCACAGGCACACCAGGGCCTTTGCAGCATTGTTTCACACCAGCAAATGCTTTCTCCTGAGAGAGCTGTGGGATTTTCCCCCCTCCCCTCTCAGTGATTAAGGTACAGCTTCTCCACTCTCATCTCAGCACCACAGCACAATCCATCTCCCTGCTCGTCCCCTGCCCCCCCCCCCCCCTTCCCCACCTTCTTCCTTTAATGAGAATATTCTTTTTTAGGCTCTTTTTTTTTTGCTGCAATGCTCTTCTGCAAGTGGGTAGGTAGCAGCAGGGGGTGGCTGTGGGGAGTGGCAGGGTGTCCCTGCAGTGGGCACACGAGGGCTGGGCTGCAATCTAGCACACCTCCAACCCGGCGACAAGGGCCCTGTGCCATAACAAGGGCTGAAAAGTAAGTGCAATGCAACCTCCTGGATACTCCTGGGTTCTTTCTGCAAGGCCATGGCTTGGTGGTAGGTTTGCCTTCCCTGCCATTGCCCACTCAGCCCCCTCTTGATGGAGATAAGAGGAGCGGGAAAAAGGATGCCTCGGTCAACATCTTTCATCCACCTTTTTAATCCGGCCTAACCCAAATGACCCCAAAGCTTTTCTGAAATGCCTGGGGGCTTTGGTGAGCTGTGTTCAGTTGACAGGGTTAGGAGGGAAAACTTTGCTTCAAGTAACACCATGGGCTTGCATTAATTAGTGACCCAGTTGCTTTAGGAAGGGTCGTTTCCACCTGCAGCAAAAGGGAACCTGCCCCTCTCTAGCTAACAGGGAGAAGCAGGATCTACCTTTAAATCTGGTAATAAAGATATCAAAGAATCATCACCTAACACTAAGCAGCTGTTAAACTGAGCTGGGCAGCAGGGCACGATGCTCAGGCTGAGAGATCAGAGGGCAAGGATGAAGAGCTGGGCTGGCCAGTCTGGCCACCATCAGTTCAAAGTACTTCAAACCTCTCTTGGTTTGAAGAATTAGCGCAGCCCCTCTGGTTTATGCTTATCCTGGCTCCGGTTTAGCCTCCAAACACTTGCAAATGTTTGCAAACATAAATCAATGGGTTAACGCTTGCCCCAGAAGAAGTTTTCCTCTGAGAGATTAAAATCTCTCTATCTGTGCTGGAAGCTGCCAGAAGTGGATTGTCAAACATCCCTGGGAGGCTGCAGAAGGAATAAGGCAGAATCGGGTCTCTGTCAATATTTCCATTCTTAATAAACCAGATTTATAATATCTGAGGCTGCATGGAAGCTTTATCACTGAGCACCTAATGGCCATGCCATTAACCTGTGCTATCTATAGCTGAACTCATTACTTTATGAAGTACTTGGAGTTACCTTGGAGTACAAAAGGTAACATAACTAATCCTGGTCTGTGAAAACCATATTGATTGGAATGTAACCACCAGGAAATGTGAGAGCATTTATAGTCCTCTGCAAAAATGCAGTTTGAGCGCTTGTTGCTCTGCACACAATACCCAGCCCTTTGCATCAGGGGTTTAACATCCCATCATCAACCTCTGTGGCGCAAGCAAGGTGGGGATGAGGTGTCCTGCCATATCCCACACAGCTTTCCCCAGGTGAATGTACGGGGTGGGATAAAATCCAGTGCCAGACACTGCTGAAGATGTCTTGTGCTGGTGAGACCATGATGTTGGTGCTGTGTAAGTGCTTCAGGTTTGGTCAAAGGCAAAGGCTTTGCTGATTAGTTAAAGATGTTGGATACTTTTCGTATCCTTGGTTTACAGCCTGAGCTTTCCAGAGTGCACACTGTCTTGCAAATGCCTATGCTGAAGTTGCTAAGGCAGTCACTCATCACCCATTTTTTACAGCTGGGGTACCAATAAGTGCAAAGCAGATATATATGTCTATATATCTATGTGAAGACTCACTGGCCTGTGCCATCTGTTTCCCAGCTGAGGTCCCTGCCAAACATTTATCATCATGAATCTCCTTTCACATCACACCTCGAGAAGGAGCAAATACGTTGCTTTAATATAGTGCTATTGATCCCAAGAGCTTAAAACAATAACCATTGCATAATCAGAATTCACTTTTTTCTGGGAACTGAGTTGCTTTTAGCATTTTGTAGGGACAGAAAGAAATTCAGCATCTTGAGAAAAAGGAACACAAGAGGCTGGGGAGGCGAGGATGTAAGAATTCAGCTCTACAAACTGCCCCGAATCCCAGACCTCAGGCAAAAAACAAAGTACTTCAAGGAGGAAATACATCACATTACTATAGTACTGCATGAAATATTTACCTTTTGAGTACATTACCAAAGTGGTTTCTTTTGAC